CATGTGGATAGAGTTTGGTACGAAGGATTGGCGGAAGCGTGCTCGGTTTGTGCGTGGGACGTTTAATCGAATTCCAGAACGGTTGAAAGAATACTGGGTGTTGAGAGGGTGACTTTGATCTTTCATGATTTTGTTTGTTTTGGACATGAGGCTCTGTTCGAACAAACAGTTTATATCAGCCAAATCATGCCCTATCACTCTCTGTGCCGCTCGCCGCACCCGGTCTAAGCGAGTCCGGTTTTTCTGGGTCCCATTTCCGTAAAAGCAAATCACGTTGTATGTTAAAATGCTTTGTATTAGTGACTGATAGAACAAAACCAGAATTGTTCTGTCAACGTAAATATTTTTCATCATTCTCAGAAAGTAGAGTCTTTGGTTTCCTTCTTACACAATGTTTGTGTGTTTTTAGTCCAGTCTAAAGTGTTGGTAACTATGCTTCCCAGGTACTTGTACTCCTTCACCTGTTCAACCTCCTTATTATGAAGAAATAACGGATCGTGTTTATTTGATTTTTCCGAAAGTCAAACACCATTTCCTTTGTTTTAGATACGTTTAAGTGGAGGTAGTGCGCATCACACCACTCAATGAAAGCCTTCACCGTTGTGACATAGTCATTTACATTCTCATCAGTAAGATGTCCAGTGATTACCATATCATCAGCATATTTTATGATATTACAATTTTCATTGTCACTGATAATTTTACTAGTATACAGGGAGAAAAGGGCGGGGGATAAAACACATCCCTGCGGGGCACCTGTACTAATTACCTTGGTACAAGATTTAATAATTCCCAATCTTACTGCCTGAGGTCTTTCTAGCAAGAAATTGTGAATCCATAGAACAAGTTGGGGAGAAGCATTCATTTCCAATAGCTTGGCAGCAAGAAGGTGAGGCATAATTGTGTTAAAAGCACTGGAAAAATCTACAAAGAGTGCCCTTACAAAACTCCCACCGACATCTAGGTGTTTATAAGCCCCATGAAGGAAACATAACACTGCATCGTCGACACCTCTGTTTTTGCGGTATGCAAACTGCAGTGGGTCGAGATGCTTACCGACCTGACTCATTAGCTTTTTCAAAACAAGCTTTTCTAAGCACTTCATGGCATTGCAAGTTAGGGATACAGGCCTAAAGTTTTTGTACTCGGTACATTTATTGCCTTTTGGTACAGGTATTATTGTTGAGGTTTTCCACAAAGTTGGTACGATGCCTAGATTTAACGAGTTCTGGAATAATTTAGTGTACACACATGCAAGTTGATCTTTGCAAACTCTCAGAACTTTATTGCTGATGTTATCCGGGCCTGCAGATTTATTCACTGCGAGGTGGGCAAACATCCTTCTCACATCGTGCTCTGTTACACAGATGTTATTCTCCCTATTATCATCGTTAACGTTACTTTGTAAGGTAGCCACAATATCTTCATTCATACTCCTAAAATGTTCGTCATCAAACCTGCAATAGTATTCGTTAAGCTCTTCAACAAACTCTTTTGACTGCACATTTAGTTGGCTTTTCTTCTGCCTATACCCTGTCAGGTTTTGCATAGTTTTCCAAGCAGATCTACTATCATTATCTTGAAAGCTCTTTTCAATTCTGTCTCTCTGAACCTTCTTACAATGTACAATTAGTCGATTAATCTCTTTCTGTAGCTCTTTCTTGAGTACATCGTTACCTTGATATACTGCAATTCTTTTTTGTTTGATCAAATCCCTTAACTCTGTTGTGAACCATGGTTTGCTGTTAGGGAAGACCTTAATTACTTTACATGGTATTGTGAGTTCAACACAAAAGTTAATATAATCGGTAATAGCATCAACCTGTTCATCCAGTGAGTTCGCATCGTCCAATAGTAATTCCCAATCCGTACAGTCGAGGCACGCGCGGAGAGCCTCCGTATTGTCATCCGTCCAGGCGTAGCGTTGCTTAGTGACGGGCTTTGTTCTCTTCAACTTCTGCTTGTAAGATGGAATGAGGTGAATGTTCTTGTGGTCCGAACTCCCCAGTTGATAACAGACTTTGCTTACGTAGGCCTCAGGAATGTTTCCGTAGCACAAATCTAAGGTTGACTCACCCCTTGTTGTGACATCGATGTATTGTTCGTAGTTGGGCAATTCATCATTCAGCCGGCATTGATTGAAATCCCCGATGATGAAAATGGGTGCATCTGGAGAAGACGTTTCTAAAGCGTGGGCGTGGTTGGCAAGGTCAACGCTTGCAGTTGCTAAGTCCGCTCTTGGGTGTATGTAACATACTGTAACGAAGATCTGAGGGAACTCCCGTGGTAGATAATATGGACGCAAACCCACAGTAATAAATTCGATATCAGGAGTACATTTAACTTCTTTGACTGTCCAGTTAGTGCACCAGCTTCTGTTGATGTAAAGGCACACTCCCCTCCTCTCGTCTTTCCCGACTCTCTCGTTCGATCTCCTTGGGAGAATAGTCGTGGAATGCCTGCTTGTGGTCGATGTATTTTCAGTTTGAGTCATTTCATGGGCCTTTATATGAATTGGGAGGGGTGCACAGGCTTTTCGGTCTGGGGAGTTGGAATACATACGCACCCACTCGGCTTATGGCTTACGTATTACTCTGATAGGTGCAAGAGGTCAATGCTTTAAGAAACCCCAGAGGACACCACTTTGATCTGACTGACATCGTATTTTGCTTGAGCTTGCATTATTGCCTTTTGATATGTAACTTTGACATATGAAATGTTTCTGATTACGGTTCCTAGAAGTCTTTAAACCTGTAACAGTGGGAGAGTGTAGGCCTGTGAGTCTCAGAGAATGCCCTAAAGTGTCGCCTACGAATCGTAGTGATGTCGGAACTGTAACAAGAATGTGCCCGAATCGGCCTACCTCAAAATAATGTTTAAGTTTACCATTAAGAGCCCTATTATTTACATAATGACATCTGGCGTTGAGTGCAATATATTTCGAATCAAACTGTATGGTGGGCCTAATTTTTAAAGTAAATTGCTTTCTTCAGGTTAATGACCTAGATTCATTGTACAAACAACATAAAGTGCATTACAAATTACAAATTTGTATTTCATCATTTTGTCTTTTTCCCACTTTTTTCCTCTCTCTTATTTTATCAGATGCGTGAATCCTGACTCTAAAGCAATAGCGCTCGGTGTACGGGCTATCATGATGAGATTACTCGGTAGGTTTTTATTATTTTTATTATTAGTATTATTTTGTAATATCATTATTACTGTTATTTTGATAATTTTCATTATCAATATCATTGTCATCATTATTATTATCATCATTGTTATTATTTCTTCCTCCCTCTCTCTTCTTCTCTCTTTCTCTCTCTCTACTTCTCGACGAATAATGTTCGTTCATCGATTTGATTTTTTTTGATTTGATTTGATTTGATTTCATATCTTGCTTTCTACATGGCTATTCAATAACGTAAATATCATATTTAGGACAATGTAGAAAACAGAAGTAGTCAGATTCTGCCTATAACAAGATTGGAAATACTTCCCCCATATAAACTCAGTAATAAGGCCAGCTTGCAGTTTGATGTTCGTCATGACTGCGGTCATTATTTGTGAACGGTTTGCTCATTTACTGATTCATTGCCACTTATTGATATAATCTGAACCTTTCTCGTTGATTCTCTACCACTAGGTGCCATTCCAGCTCCGCTGATCTACGGGGCTGCGATCGACACTGCTTGTAGGCTTTGGCAGACTGAGTGCGGCAAGCAAGGATCTTGTTATATCTACGATCTTGCGGCTTTCCGTTATGCCTACCTTGGTGTCAACTTCATCTTCAAAGTTCTCACAGTCTTCTTCTACCTCGTGGCATTGTGGCTCATCAGACGACAGCGCATGCGCAATCAAAAGGAGGGCAAATTGGCCATTGAAGAGGAAGAGTGAGGGGGGAGGGGGATAGCATGAGTGATGCAGATAGTGTGCTGCCTAATAAAGAAATGTGTGCGCAATTGTTAGTATTTCTACTATACTGCCAGATTTTTAAGAGAGCGACTTTTCTATCATATTACCGTTTCTGGGGTGACTTTTGCATTTTCTATTTTAATTTGATCTTATTTTTGTACGAAATTTTTTATAAAACGCTTTTCTTATTATATTAAAATGTTGCATAAATCTTTTTCCAGCTTTAATACTCGATGTTTTTCAATATACTCTTTATACAAAAGGTAATAAGAAGGAATACATTTAATAAATATATATATATACTGAACAGTTATTAAAGCAATTGTAAAATGAGTGATTACTCGAAGATAAAGATGCATGCAATACTTGTAATTATTACACTTCATTCATGTCACGTGGTGCATAATACCGAACAAATTCGTATTGCAAGAGAAAGTAAGACTTAAATGCAAAACATATAAATGCGATTAACTGTTAATGATCACGTTGAAGAAAAAGCTAATAAGGAAGTAGAATTCTTTTATATTACATCGTATATTATAGTGCAAATATAATGGTACACGCGGAATAAACTAATCAAAGTTACATGTTTGTGTAAGTTTATAAATTATATCATAAAGAGAACTGTTAAGTATATACATTAACGTGGTGCAATGGTATTAAAAAAAAACTATATGATATATATTTTAGCTATCATAGGTTAAACAGTGACCGAATGGTCAATCGATACTGTTCAAAAGTATAAAATGTATTTTTAAAAGTGTTAAAATGTTTTGCCTTCATGATATGCACTCATGCTTGACTTTTGCTAAAAAAAACAAAGTAACTATTATAATTGTTTATACGGGAATGTATGCGTAACTAATCGTCGTTTGTAAAGGCTTCAGACTGAGAGTAATTTCAACTAGTAAAGTAATTTCGGCTTGCAACCAGAGTAAATACAGATCGAACACGAGATCTTTTTACCGATCAGAATCATTATTGTCTTGCTTTGTAATATGATCATACACCACACGGGCCATATGAAGGCGGCCCCTGGACCCCAGCAAGAAAGGTTCGCGCCAACGCGCGCGCACGTTGGCTTCGCCCTTGCCCCTAACTTCGAAGATCTGCCGCTGTAGAATGATTCTATTTAAATGACTACAAAAACGGCATTACTATTAACTTTATGATGTACACAAAACAAATGGTGTCGGCTGCGTAATTATCTGTGAATTCAAATAAAATGGTTTATAAACAACGACAAATTAATACAAAATCCTTTTTTTCCTTCTTTTTTCGCACCAGTCTATTATATGCTTATGTAAATGCCTCCGCCGTTGAAAGAAGCGTTTTATGGGATTGTGTGTCCGCTGGTCTATCTGTTTTTCTTCATATATACGGGTGGATGAATTTGGGTATCCAGGCAAGTGTGGCCTGAGGGAAGTTAAAGATCATTCATTACAAATATCGGCCAGGAAGATTCTTGAGTTTTAACAATAAGGGAATCTATAAAAACTTGTTTCACAAATCTCTTACATTTCTACAAAAATGGCAAGATACTAAATTGCAAAAGTACATGATAAAAATAAATTTCCACAACTAAAATACGACAGTCTAATACAAACGCATGTAAAAAGAATGATAAATGGATTTTCAATTACTTACAAAATAATAATTGAAGGATATTGTCTGTAATACTAATAGATTGCTCAGGCACAGTGGACAATTTTTTTTAAGAAGTAAAATTTCAAGTACAAAACGTTCAAAGAAACGGACAAACGGCATAAAGAAATAACAAATGCATTCATACTAAGAAATTAAGGTAAAGTACATTCAAGTTTATACACATCACAATGAACATGCCTCAAAGAAGACATACATTCTAGTTAGAGCACGTTGAGTGACACAGTGATAACGTGACAGAGAAAACGAGGTCATGGTCATCTATAGCCTACCTACCGATGAAATTCTGGTTAATTAAAAAATTGTGTGTTTTTAGCTGCACATAGTTATCCTTGTAAGCATTTTACAGAAACGCTGCATTGTGTACCCAACACTCCTACAGTACAAGGAATCACCTGACAGTGGTCTGAGGAGAGGGAAACAAGAGGGAGAGGAAGGGAGAGTGTGAGAGTGGGAGAGAGAGAGAGAGAGAGAGAGAGGGGGGAGTAGGAGTAAGAGAAAGAGAGAGGAAGGGAGAGAGAGGAGAGGAAGGAGAGAGAGAGAGAGAGAGAGAGAATATGGAGAGAGAGAGAGAGAGAGAGAGAGAGAGGAAGGGAGAGATTAAGATTGAGAGATAGAGAGAGAGAGAGAGAGAGAGAGAGAGCAGACATAAGACATCTAGAGAGGGGGCGTGGTGAATAAACATGTGGAGAAAGAGAGGGGAAGGGGAAGAGAGAAAGAAAGAAAGAAGAAAGAGAGATAGAAGAGAGCGAGAGATAGAGGGAGAGAGGAGAGAGAGAGAGAGAGAGAGAGAGAGAGAGAGAGATGTTCGGCTTTTTGTTTGTCAAAGCCACGATGATCTTCATCCACAACTTACTTTTTGCTCAAAAAATCAACAGTGTAGTACGGAGAAATAAAAAAGAGTGAAAAGACACATAGAATAAAAATATTTTTGCTCAAAATCCAAGAGTGTAGTACAGAGAAATGGTGGTGGTGGTGGGGGGGGGGGGGGCACATACAGACAGACAGAGACAAGGGTGCGATAGAAGATGGGATAAATCAGAGCCATCTATACACATAGATCTGTGTATAGATGGATCTGGGAGAAATTATAATGGAGCGACACCATTGTCCATCTTAACGTTGCAAAAAGAACACCATTCATAGACCAATTTTGTCCTGAGATTTGTGTGGTTATCCGATTGGGATGGATAGGTAACCTTCTCTTCTGCATCGTTACCTCTTTGCTTTCAGCATCGTCTCAGGGACCCATCGCAATGAACACTAAACAAAAGAGGATGATGCTTGACTAGACACAAATAGCCATTACCCGTGTCCGTAAAAAAGGGGAAGGGCAGTAGCTGTCTGGTGATTAGTTGTGGAGTTTTTGAGGCGATAGCTGCTTGCATAAACAGACGGACGGACGGTATACTGCTCTACTCGCAAAGAAAGGTACGTAACAAAAATTCACTTCTGATTAACATTAATTGTCATTAAATCAAAGGCATAGAGTACCGAAGCTGTGACATCATACAAATGTATTCTTAGAATTTCTCAATTTTTCTTCATTTTCCGAAAGAGCATTAAAAATAATGTCCGAATGTTGAAAACCAATATAGGCCATTTTCGTAACCAAATCTAATGCATACGTCTTTGTGAAGTGCCTCAATACAATTTACTTCATTCACCTGATAAGAATAATAGTATTTCAATAGACAGAATGCGAACTGCATACATTAGTTGTTGCCAGGTAGGACAAACATTATGGCTTGACCTACCTAGCAAGAATCTTCAACTGTGAAGGAGGTATACTTAACCCAAAGAAGAAGAAGAAGAACACTTAATATATGCAGTTTGCATTCTGACTATTGAAATACTATTATTCTTATCAGGTGAATGAAATAATTTGTATTGAGGCACTTCACAAAGACTTATGCATTAAATTTGATTACATTACGAAAATGGCCTATTGAATATGTTAAGTATTGGCTGAGGTATGACCATCTGAATAAATAGCAACTCAGTGTTATATTGCTCTGGCTCGTAATGTTATGAACCAGAGCAATATAACACTGAGTTCCTATAGGTCGTCTATTTATTTAGATGGTCATATCTTAGCCAATACTTAACATATTCAATAATACGTTTATATATAAACACTAACCAGTGATCTAGATGAATGCACGTAATAATATGTCCGTCTTTCTTTACAATTGACATCCGCTGGAAAAGAGTAAGTTTGTGTTTTCCGATCCAGAATCTGTTGTTGTGTTGTTGCTTGTATTTTTGGTGCTCAGTCAAAATTGACTATACGCCTGTCTGTTCAAGGTACAATGTCCATTTGCAGGTCAAAACAAAATGAAAGGGTTAAATTCCAACGGTATTTGAAAGAAAATACTAATTTAGATCTTCCCTCATAATGAAAGGGCTCGAAAAATGGCTTTTAGTGGGAAAATAACGTATATAAGTTGTCAAATCGACTTAAAGATACTATGTCCCTTTTGCAGCCAACATCAAATTCTGTAGAACTTTGCAGGAATTATGATTATGTCATGTATGTCCTATCTGTGAAATATAAACGTCAGCAGTGTCTTAGTATTCAAATTATGCAAGGAAACCCGTTTACTTTCTAGACTTCCCTGTCAGACACTATCGAGTGACTGACTGACATTTTTTTTTCTTTTGTGGTAACACAATGAGCTGTAAACAGGTACATGAGCATTTGTCTGCATCAATAATCCACTACTTGTAGTGGCCAAAATTAAACTGATTGAATCTTTGTGCAGCACAAAACGTACGGCCATTCGGTACAAGGGTCTGAAAACCAGACTATTACTTAGGTGACTGCAATCACTTATGTCGATTCGACAGCTAATGGTTAATTTCCCACGAAGAGCCATTTTCATACCCTTTCGTTTTAAGGAACGTTCTAAACAAGTATTTTCTTTCAAATGCCATTGAAATTTAACTTTTCATTTTTTGACCTGCAAATGGGACAAAGTACCTTTAAGTGATCGCAATCACCTAAGTAATAATCGGATTTTCAGACTCTTTTAGTTTCTGCAAAGTTCTACATAATTCGAAGGTGGCTGAAAAGGGACATAAATAAAGGCGACGTCCACTACAAAAATAATGTGCTTTTAATAGATGCAAAAAACAAGAGAAACATAGCTTTAAAAAATTGAGTAAAATGGGATCACAAATAAGGAAGTTATGAATTTTTTTGAAAGTATGAAAAAACTATGGAACTTAGAAAATCACTACACAAATTGCCAATTTGTTCATATGTTTGTGACGTCATTGCCTCACTATTTATCAATTACTTTTATATATTTTTATCCCCAGACACTTGATTTCCCCCATGCGTTTGCCCAGACAATATGATTGGTATCATATTGTGTGTATGTCATTTCACAAAATCTTTATGAACTTTGAAGAAAAACTATTTTCTTTATAATGTATATTCATAATCATTGTTTTTTATTTAAATAGTTTATCAAAATTCGAATTTTTCTTGATTTAACTGAAAAGAATTACTCTATATTAGTGCATCCGCGCAAAAACATATTACTATCAATTTAACTTGGATGCTGGTGAGAGAAAATATGATTTTTAAAGGGAAAAAACTGGAAACTTATATTATCAATATAAAGAAAAGAACTAGTGGATAGTGAGGCAATGACTTCACAGACTCATGAGTGATATCATCTGGTATGATCTAGGCCACTTAAATACACAGTATACCGATACAGCATGACGTAACAATGTTTTCCTTATTGGCCGATGTCGTCCTGTCAAGGACGATAAAAACACATTATTGTAGATGATTCGATTTTTATCCTTTGCTTTGAGCTAAGTATTAAATATTCGTCGGATTTCTAGTGGCATCTCTCCACACTCTATTTGGAGTGCTGCTATGGAGGTAATTCCCAAGCATATCTTTAGAGCTTCGAGTTGAATCATGTCTACCTTTCTCTTTTTGGTTGTTTTACCCGAATCATAGATTTCACATTCGTAATCCTGTATGGGTCTGATAAATGATTTATATGATAACAGGAGTGTTTTGGTATCTGCACATTACCATTTACTGTTAAATTTTTTAAAGCATTAATACATCTTCCAAATACACTGTCTATGTGCTAACCCAAGCATGATGTGAGTCAAAATTCAAACCTAGGAACTTGAGCTGGAGTGCAAAGGAAAATGACACGTGAGATGTTGATTAGGCAGTTAAAGGTTCATGGGTCACATTACACGTAAATAAGGCCTAGAGAATCTTGCTTCGACAGGGAAAATTGTGGTAAGGAGGAGTAAGGGAAGAAGGAGGATACTTTGGCTGGACAGTCTGCATAAATTGTTGAAAGAGAGAGGAGTGAAAGAACTGGGGGTGGTGCTAATAGAGAAGGCTAGGAGCATGTACCCGAGGGTTGTGGAACAGCATGATCACCAACGTCTATCGATAGAGAGAGAGAGAGAGAGAGAGAGAGGAACTTGAATTTATTTACCACTTCTATTTCCGTGCCTTGGATAAAAAGTTTAGGCTTTGCGATTTGTAAAAACTATTACTTTCGTCTTTCTAGACGACAAAGAAGCTCCCCTTTTATTATACTAATCAGTCAAGTCATCAAGATCCACTTGTAGTCGCTTGGTCATCTGCAAATTGTGACAACTTAGGGTGACAAATTTAGCGAGGGGGATCGTGAACGAAAACTTTGAGCACGGAAAGACTGAGGACACCGCCCTGTGGAATTACATTTTGTTATAAGAAGGATTCCGAGAGCATACCTTTTATTTGTACCAAAAATGTTCTATTTGAAAGAAAAGATGTTACCCATGTGTTTGGAAAACCCCGAATCTAGAAGTTTGAATAGAACACAATTTTTGTGTATAGTATCATACGCCTTTTCAAAATCTATACCGGGTAGAAAACGGTGTTCTCTATTGGCCATAGCTTTTGTTATGTCCGTGTCTAGACGTAGGCGGTGGTCTAGACTAATTCTCCCTGTCTTAAAACCACTTTGAATGGGAATGCTATCAAACGACCAGTTTAACCGGTTTAGGATCAATCTTTCCATTATTTGGCAAAGTACTGAAGTGAGAGCTCTAGGGCGATATGCTGAGGTATTGGAAGGTTTCATATACTTTTTTTTAAATGGTGCAAGGATCACATGAAGCCATTGAAGTGGAGTTTCAGTCTTTGTTCATATTCGATTAAAAAGATTTAGGAGACTGAGCTGAGAAGTGATGGGTAGCTCAGACACATTAATCTCATCTTGTCCTGGGGATGAATTGTTTGACCTTGTAATTAAACTTTTCAGTTTGTGAATTAAGAAGGGCTCGTCTATTGATGTATACAGACTTGGTTACAGTCGAGACAGCTTTTGTTAAGACATGCTTGGATTTTCCCTTGACTCAGCAAATACTTTTGCAAGAACGTTTGCCTTCCCCTTATCATTAGTTATTTCTACGTTATAAGTGGTCGACGATACATGTGTTTCTTTTTTCTAGGTTGATTCATTTCAATTGATTTCACGAATATTTTTCCACACCACTCCTATCTGGTCAAAACGATATATTTGTGAGCAGAAGGTCCTCCAATGAAATACTTTTGCTTCCCTAATAACCATCTGGATGCATGCCCTTTTGAATGTGTATTTTATTAACAATTGTGGCGTAATGCACTTTGTCAGTCTATTTCTCCTAGCGTTTCTCTCTTTGATAGCCTTTTTTTTGTACACTTGTCATTCCACCAGCCCATTGGTGGTTTCCCGTCCTGTTTGCATTTCACTTTAGGGATACACTTTTTGTCTATTTTGTATAATACTGTAACAAATTTGTCATACGAAGTTTGAATATCTGAACCCCTTGTGAGATCATTGGTCACCTGTGCCTTGGATAATTCTTTAAAAGGTCTCGAGTTTGCCCGTTTAAAAGACCACTTTCTGTTTGTAGTATGAGATACATATACATTAATATTATTATGATTTGACTTTCCTATATAGGTGTTTGCTACAAAATGGTCGCTTCCCATATTTCTGTATTTGCTTCCCATTCGCTTTTTGCTTCTTAATTGGGAGTGACTATTAAACGTTAAATCGTTTATTTGATACTTTAAGATTGCTGTCTGTTTCTCTGCCATTAGGATCGGTTTCATCGCTACCTCAAATAGTGTTATGTCCATTGAAATCACCACAAATTACTAAGTTACCATTTATGTTCCTTGTTATTGCTAATAGATTTGTTTTACTTAGTCTTTTGCAGGGATTATACAAGTTTACAATTGTAATCTTTTTGTTTTGGATCGTGCACTCCACCAGGGTTTGAAGCTCCCCTCTTGTTTCTATTGTTCCCTGGGTATAAGATGCAACTATGCAAACTATATAGCACACCCACCTCTGGGACCAGTGTTTCTTATAAATAAGAATCATTATAATCCTGAAATGATTTAGAGT